CCCGCCGCGGCTGCCGCAGCCGCGGCCGCCGCCGCCGCGATGTTGAACCCAGGGCAGCAGCAGCCGTACTTCCCATCCCCGGCCCCGGGCCAGGCCCCTGGACCGGCTGCAGCAGCCCCAGCTCAGGTACAGGCTGCAGCAGCTGCTGCAGTTAAAGCGCACCATCATCAGCACTCACAACATCCACAGCAGCAACTGGACATTGAGCCGGACAGACCCATCGGATACGGAGCCTTTGGTGTTGTCTGGTGAGTAGAGACAAAAGAGAACTGATACCTCCTTGTCATTCTTTACCTGATCATAACTCATCCTTGTTTTTGTCATTTGAATCAGAATACAAGAGAGCTGCTTACTACCAGTTTTTTTGCTGGTTCTTCTCTGTTCTTAGAAAGTTGCTTTGCTTGTTTGTGTTGGCAGAACAAGGTTCCCAGTGGTGAGGAGCCACCTCTGACTAACAGCCCACCCTGCCGTTCTCTTCTGAGACAATGCAGCTTGTTTATGCCCTTTCTGTACCTTTAATTAGAGTGTGCATCCGTGCAGCTAAGCTGTGCTTCCTAAAATTTCAGGTTAACAAATGAGCATTAGAATATTCATTTTGACCTGGCTTAAGAGTCAGAAATGAAAAGTATATGAAAATGTCTTCGTTGTGCAGTCACCTGTCAAGATCTTTGTCTCATGGCGGTTTGACCTGCAGTAGTGCTGTGTGCTACCTAAAACAGCACAGCTGAACTTTGTTCCCCTCTCAAAAATGGAAATGGGATTTCCTGCCTCACTGTAGTTCTGCCTCCGGCCCTTTTATCCCCCAGCCGCGTTTCAGAGGAGTCTGTCAGCGGAGTGGAATCTCTTCTAATGCATTTTGTGACTACCTTAGAGCCATGTATGTAATTAGTGCCCTTCAGGAGCACTGACACAAAACTGGCAGCAGTATATATATATATTTGTGTATAAGTGTTTGTCAGTGTGCTCTATTCTGAGCTGTGCCTGGGAAGCATGAAGGCTGGCAGGAGGTGTTCTGGAGAGCAGGCGTGTTGCAGTGCACTTCCTGCAGCACAAATGCAAAGTTTGCAGCGTGCAGCTGTGTGTGGTGTCCCAGCCCTCTGCAGTGTTCCCAGCCGAGCCTCTGGGGTGCCCTGGGAGTTTCACTTTTGGCACTGGCTGAGCTGCAGCTTCGCTGAGAGGAGTGGCGGGGTCACGGTCTGTGCCAGCGTACGGAGGCAGAGGGCTCAGCAGGGCAGGCCTCAGGAGAGCAAAACCCCTTCTGCCTGCAGCCAGCCCTTCAAGTCAGCCATGCGTTACCAGCCCAGTGTTGGTAGCAAAATGGTGCTTTCTGGGAAGGCCAAGGGAGCTGCAGGAGCAAGGTACAGGTCAGTGTTGTGGTTGCTCTCGTGTGCCTTCCCTCAGAGCTGGGGAGTTAATTTAAACCCTGAGTTCTCCCAGTCGGAGGGGAGCTGTTGTGCAGTCAGCACTGCCATGCTCTGGCTGTGGTACAGCATAAAAAAGTGGGTGTAAAAGAATGAAAACTGACAAGGAATCTGCTGTAAAAAACTATCTAAAGGTATTTCAGTTTGTTTGTATCTTTTTTAAAGTATGGAGTTTTTATAACTTAATATGTTACAGTCTTTGCTTAAATGTATGTTGTTATGTAAGATCAGCCCTTTTTATCGGTGTTTTGTTTGCCTGTGCATTTCCTAGGTCTTTATTTTCCCAGTTCTGTTCACCAAAAAACAAGGTGCAGAGAGAGATCTGCTCCCGTAATATTCAGTAGAATGAAAGGTCATGCTTGCATATTTAAATATAATATCATTAAGAGTGCTGAGGGGAGAAAGAGGGAAGGGTCTGACTGACATCAGGTAGGAAAGACAGTGCCAAAAGCATCCACCCGTCCCGAGCCCTCGGCCGTGCACCTGCGGCAGGACCTGCCCCTGGGGGACTGTGCCTGCAGAGCTGCAGCTACAGCTTTGCTTGGAGGTAACAACAGCTTGGGAAAGAGACAACAACGAAGGGGGAGGGTGTTAGTTAAAAGCAGAAGGTGGGAGCTGGGATCCCTCCATCAGAGCTGGGGCTGCGCTGGCTGGGGATGGCATTGGTGGGAGTGAGTTCCTCTTGTGTTTGAATTCAGCGGTCACTGCTCGGCTTTTGGAGTTTCATATTAACTTCTGCTGGTGAGTGCAGGCTCAATTTAGGAGTCTGTAAGCAATAATTAAACTGAATTTTAGTTCCATTAAAAACGTGGGAGAAAGCCCATGCAATTGAATTTTAGCTATGTGAGATAAGTAAACACTGACTTGAATATTTATAGTTTGAGGTGGTCATGAGCAGTTGGGTTCAAGTGTGACACGGGATTCACAAAGCCTGACTTTCGAAGGAGGATTCTGTTGTTTCTCACTATCTTGTCTGAGCATTATTTGTGCTAATAGGTAACTGAAAAGTTTCTATCAGTGCTTCTGAGGGAAATGGATATTATTCCATAGACGGAGTGTTTGCAGAAATCTTTCATCTTCTACTCTGATGTATGGCTGCTTTGTTTGGGAGGTACAGCTGACCTGCAGCTCAGCTCAGTGCATCAGACGAGCGATCAGCTTGTGGTGCTGCACTTCCCATTACCTCACCGAGAGAGATTTTCTCTTGGCAGTTGAATTAGCATTTGTCATTAGTTCATTTGTCTGGTACTCTGCAATGTTTTGGGGTAGCTAATGTGCTGCTTGGAGTTTTTCACTCGTGAAGAGCTTTGTGCTTCAGCACTTTGATTATTAACCCCTGTGGGTGGGTGCTGCTGCCGCTGTCTGTGCACACAGGCCATGTTGTCGCTCAGCTGGGCACCACCTCTGTGGAAATCAGCATCTGCTCTGCCTGCTGACCTGGGATGAGGAGGGTGCTGCTGAAGCAGAGGTAGGAGTGCAGGGACTTTGCCAGGTCCTGCAGGTTTGTTTCCCCACGCTTTGATTTGGTGAATTGCCTTAAACCCAGTCATGTTCCTCATTTGCCAGAACCAGAGCAATTTGCTCTTGGAGTGTTCCCTGCTTTTGTGTTCCCTGCTCTCATGTTCCTAAAGTGCTGAAAAAATCCAGACGTTAATGTCAGCAACAAACTCTGTCTGTGCCCTGTGGTTCAGTCTGAGTAGGGCTGGGTTTT